GTCATAATAAGATGTCATCTTATTAACCCAACATGCAATCAAAGGCCTTATGATCTCTAATCAAAGTATAAGCCTTTCCTTGCAGAAATACTGTAAAGGAATGCAAAATGTCAACCATTTTTCTATCATGCACTTTTTGGGGGTGTACACCTGGATGTACCTACTGCTGTACTAACTTTCTCACCCCCTATTATGCATTACCAGCTAGAGAGTCAGATAAGGTTTTATTCCACTAATAATACATCCAAGTTAAGATTTATTCTGAACAAGGATGGCATCCTACTTCTACCAGATCCCACAGCCTTTTGCTTCTGGCTATAAGACTCTAGAGTTCTTCAGGGCCCAGAAACCTTTGTGCTCTAAAGTTCTACTGATTTGCTCAGTCCTCTTGGCCTGCTCATTCATCCGTAAAGGTCTCCCAGAGGTCACCACCTCTGCGGCACTGAACACTGAGAGGCTCATAACCAAAATGGAGTTTGAATGCTGTTCTCTAAGAGATGGAAGGTTAAGTGAGTCAAAGAGTGACGTGATCAGACTTGATTTTAATAAAGATCATGCTGGAAATTAGATAGAAGGACCAAGATTAACTTGTGGTTTTCCAAACAAGAGACATGAAATTTTATATCCTAGAAATATCACTCCAAAGAAACCTAAGAGGAGAACAAAAAATGGTTATGTGTGTGAAGATGGAAGACAAAGGTAAGTCCAAGCTGACTCCCAGGGCTGGAATAAGTGGGTAGGGCATTTGCTTTACATGCGGCCAACCCTGGTTTGGTTCCCAGCATCCCATATGGTCCCCTGAGCACCCCCAGGAGTAATTCCTGAGTGCATGAGGCAGGAGTAACCCCTGTACATTGCTGGGTGTGACTCAAAAAGCAGAAAAGAAAAAGAAAAAAAAAACCAGTGCTGACTCCCAAGCTTGAATGGGTATATGTAAATTAGATAATTAACTAAGACAATGATTAGGAGTAGAATGTTTGTATAGTGAATAATGACGTTGGTTTAAATAGCCAACATTAACGGTCAGTGCAGGACACCTGGGAAGGGATATGTGAAGTAAAAATGAAAAATTTTAACCCAGAATTTAAGAAAATAGACCTTGCAAAATGGAGCCTTATCAACCTGGCTTATAGTTTGTAACTTATGCCAGAAAAAATTAATCAACTCTCCAAAGGATGGTGGGAAAGAAATGTGGGCAATGAGACGTAACAGAATGTGAAGGAAAGTGTCAAGGTGAGTTGTTAATAGTATCAAATAACAAAGGTCAAGTAAGGTAGACCAGAGATGTGATTAGTGGACAGGCAACAGGAGGAAGAATGACGGTTGGGGAGGACCTGTCTTCATTTCACCCCCGAGTTACTGTGTTATTTTACACAACTTCTCCCTCATCTCCCATAGATCACTGCCTTATCTAAGTGTTCCAATGGTGAATAAGAATGACAAGTTCCTTTATATAACCTTATATTATTAACTTTACATAGCAAAGTTTAATGACAATAACTCATAATGAAAAATAATCAAATGAACAAGCAATATCTATATTCTTGATTATCTTATTTTACCCCCTGACAAAGTTTGTTCATCTTAAATACGAGCTCTAAAAGGTCTAAATTTTTTTGGCTCTAAGATATTCCACTAGGAGAAGACAAGTTTGATTCCCCCACAGGGAGGTCCATATTTCCCCCAGCATTTCAAAACCTTAATTTTAAATTTTAAAAAGTTCCTCTTCCGTTCAGAATTAAAGTCCATGATTATTTGCCAGATTCTGTTTCTGTGCATTTGAAATATTAACAGAAATTTTCACAGTTAATTCCCCAAGTCGGGAGCACAGCCCAGGGTCATAGACAAACTCAGAAATTGGACCTCCCCATTTGAACTCTGGCTATATGGACTTAGCAACTTAGAGAACTTATTTCTGGGCTTCAGTTTCTGATCTGGAAGTTAAGAATAACAACAGCAGCCACTAGCTCTTCAAGTCCATCTTCTCCTTTGGACACAGATCTTGGAGCTGGTCTCTGTTTCTTTGCTTGCCTATTTTCACTCTGGAAAAGCCTATTGCTTCCCCATCCCTCTAAATCTTTCTAAGTTTCAATAAAAAATTTTCAAAAAAAAATTGAAGACTTGAAAACAGTACATCTTTTTTTTTTTAATAAGGGATAAAACTAAAACTTCCTAAGCTTAAGAAGCAACTGGTATCTAGCATTGTCCCTCCACCTGCCCCCTGGGATTCCTGATGGCCGCCATCTTCCAGAACCCAGTGAAAAGCCCAGGTACTCGAGATTAGTGACTGCAAACTCCAGGCTTCCTGGGATAGGGGATGCCCCTATGTGACCCTTCTCATGCCCCTGCCCCTATGTGACCCAGGAGGTCATGCCCACAAGTTGACTCCAGTGACCTATTTAAAGGCTATGATCCAGAAACACACAAAAGAATCTCAGAACTGAGAAGCTCACTGCAGAGATTTCTCCAGACCCGAATTATCTAAAATTTTAGATTTCTAGTAGCTCTCGTGGCCGTGCGACATCCTATGTTATTCATAGTGGGCAATATAAATAAATTATCTAGCATCTGCCTGTTCGGCAGGTTTGAGTAGTGGTGGGAAATTCAAAATAATGGTGGTGGGACTAGTGTTGAAATATTGAATGTAATCCATTATTGTGAACAACTTTATGAAAATTTAAAAAAATAACTGGTATCTAAAATTACTCAGAAAGCAACCTGATAAGCCAGTTCAAGCCAAACTTAGTCACCAGAACTGACTTTGATATGCTTACTGCACATCATATTCTTCCCAAACAAAGCACTTGTCTAAAGATAGAGGCACAGAAACAATGTGCTAGCAACAGGCTACTGTCTCTGGCTAGACCAGAAAATCCTGTTTCTTTTGACATTAGCATAAAAGTTAAAGTTTGAAAGTGCTTTTAATGTCATTTCTGTATACCACCTCAAAGTTTGAGACTTGCTAATTTTTTAATACACATTTGTTCTCTATGTGAAAAACCAGAAGCAAAAATAAGAATTGAACTCTGTCACTGTCCTCCCATTGTTCATCGATTTGCTCCAGCGGGCCCAATAACACAATGTCTCCATTGTGAGACTTGTTGTTACTGTGTTTGGCATATTGAATACGTCACGGGTAGCTTGCCAGCCTTCGCTGTGCAGGTGAGATACTCTCGGTAGCTTGCCGGGCTCTCTGAGAGGGGCAGAGGAATCAAACTCAGGTCAGCTATGTTGGCCGCTTGCAAGGCAATGCCCTACCGGCTGTGCTATCGCTCCAGCCCAGAATTGATCTCATTTAAAAGAAACTCACATTAAAATTCTGAGTTCTTACTGACTGCGCCCAGGCATTGTGCTAAGAAGCATCAATAGTACTACATTCGATCCTCAAATTAATTTTTGAATTTCAATTTTATGGAAGAATAAGCAAAAGCTCAGAGTGTTTAACTTTACCAAGCTCATGTAGATCACAAACAGAGCTATAATGTCAACCATCAGTATACATTCTCAACCATGCTCCTCCACTACCTCTTTTTTCCCAACTCAAGTACCATGTCAACTGTGAGAACACTCAATGAAACTCATGAGACAGGGCTCAGGGCTGTCGTGTTATAAAAATACATTAATCTACCATGAGAAAATGACAGATTCATTGTCTTCCCCCAAAAGGATCAATAAATGGGCCACCAACAAAAATCTCAAACAATACTCACATATCAGTGATAAATTTTATCAAAGTAGATAATGAAAAGATAAAAATAGTGATATATATTCTACAACTGTGTAAACTGTCTGACCTTCAGAAACATTTGTAGGTGCTAATCTTTTCCTTTAGCAGAATTTGAGCAAGCTGCACAACAACCCCTTCAGAAAGTGGGGATGAAAGGCTGCTCTGAGTACTAAGGAGTTCACGCAGGAAAGACTTGGAAATGCCCAGGTGAGTAGGCACAGTGCAAGTGCTCATCTAATGTCGGGATATTTCTCCTTGCAGCTGTCAGTTCCTGACTGAGAGAATGGCTCCTGGGGCCCTTAAAACTGTCTACACAGGAGCAAAGTGAGGAGAACTGGCTGTGATCTCAGCCCTCTAATAGGATTCACAACTTTCTACAGTTGCCTGTTTTCTGAACTAAACTCTGAAATGAGCTATTATTCTCTGTCTCCCTCTTCATATTATCCAAAATAATTCAATGTCCACCTTTCCCTTTGGGAAAATCAAAGGTTGACATCTCTACCTTTTGAACTCAAGCTGTTAAAGATCCCTTTCTTCTGTTCAAAACGTTTTTACTGGTTTTGAAAGGTCTTATTGATAAAACACAGAGCAACTCAGGGGAAAAGGACAAAGAAAAGTAGAAGAAAGAGAAAGAATAAAGAGGCCAGTAAAGAAAGAGAAGGAAGAGAGCCCAAGAGGAACAGAGACAAAGGCTACTGAATGCATAATTGCCAACAGTCTCAGAAACTAGCTCATGTAACAATCATATTCTTTAAAAAAAAACCAATGGGGTAATATTTACACAAGATCCAAGATATATGCTTTCTGTTAAATGCTGCAAAATGACAATATATTCAATTCATTAATTCATGAATTAGTCTGTGAGATGTTTATGTCTGGCATCATTAGCATTTCTGAGCTGAATATTTAAGAGACTAAGGAAGAATGTTAAGAAGGAAAGATAGAACATTAAAAAAATTTCTGCTCTGTTTTTGTTACTTGTGCGTATATTGGCTCCATCCATATGAAGAGTCTGGGTAAGATTTGGGGTCAGGGTTAAGAGAGAGGGGACATGACACTTTCCAAGCACCTCTAGATTCCTCTGCTTATCCAGGTATGTGCAAAAGTTATATGAATTTCAAACCATTTTCTAACCATTCCAATAAATGATAGTTTCGCAGCAGATATGTTACAATCAACACAGATTAAGAGTAAATTAGGCCTTAATTATATTTAGCAAGTTTTATGTCCTAATTAGAAGCAGAATCTCAACAACAACAAAAATATGACTTACCAGCAGAGTTAACTCTGCCACAGCTGTCTACTCTTCCCAAGCATTCCTTGTGTGCTCTTGCACCACACTTAAAACATAAATAGCCTTGATAAAATGTTCCTCTGAAAAAAAATTAGAATATGTTAAAACTAAATTCAGCCGTATGGAATCATTAGTGCAGGGAATAAAAAAAAAATTAAAAAAAAAAAAACAAGGAACATGGAACTTTTCAAAGCTCTCTGCAAAGGGAGAGGCCTTCCTGGTCTCAGAACCGAGTAGGAACAAGGCCAAGCAAACTTGTTGCAACCAAACTGTTAAGCAATACCCAGACTTCAGAACACTTTAGCTGGAATATTAGAAATGTCTGAAATGCTTACAATTATACCAGTTCCTTTAAACTGAGAAACAGAATCGAGCAAGCTTACCTGAGGAGCATCTGGCAGACTTTACAGGATGTAACTCTGTTGAAGGTATGCATCTTGAACTCATGAAAATTGGAGTCTGCATAGTCTGGTCTTATGTTAGATCTATAAAAAGAGGGAACCAAGAGTCATTTCTGAATGAAAGTGGCACCACAAAGCAGCAGTCTAGTCCTCTAAAACTCAAATTCATCAAAATTACATTGGGTAAGATCTGAGTCCAGCAAAAAAGGCCATTAAGTATGCAGTGCTTTAAGGCAAAAGTATACTTTTCATTAAAATATGCACCAGAGTCTGGTTGTGTGAAAACCAGCTCTATGGAAAAATTTATGAAGCCTAATCCTTGGCAGAATTGAGTCCTCCCAGAGAACTTTGCAGCCTGGGCACATAGGTCAACCTGCCAGGAAAATACACAAAATCTGCTGGATATTCATGCTGTGTGATAGTGTCTCTTCACTAGCCACATCACTGAAATATAAAGTACCTGGGGACAGTGAGAGGGATTGCAGTTTAACAGTATTATCTTTAAATAGGTATGTCGGAATGGGGTATCACATAATGACTGACACCAGAGGATAAAATAAAATCATGTTTATGTTTCACATTTAACTTATAACATTTTCAAAAATAATCAGGTATACTGCAAAATGGATATTCACTGTGCACTCTCCATTGGTGCTCCTCAAAGTGGGCAGTGCCTCCCAGGCAGAACAGAAGGTGCTAGAACAACGGGGAGTAGCCACCTCAGGTTCAAGAGGGGAGGCACTATTTTTGTTGCTCGAGCGGGCCCAGTAACGTCTCCATTGGAGACTTTGTTGTTACTGTGTCTGGCATATCGAATACGTCACGGGGAGCTTGCCAGGCTCTGCCGTGTGGGCGAGATACTCTCGGTAGCTTGCCGGGCTCTCCGAGAGGGGCGGAGGAATCGAACTCGGGTCGGCCATGTTGGCTGCGTGCAAGGCAAACGCCCTACCGCTGTGCTATCGCTCCAACTTTTTTTGTTAGTTCACTTAAAGGAGGGGGATTTCCAATAGGTGAAATATCCAGTTTCTTAGAAGGGAGCAGTAGGCCAAAATAGGAGAGGGGAAACTCTGCCTCTAGATCATCACACCATGAGAACACATGCCATTCATTACCTCCTTTCAACTTCACACCAGATCTAACTTGTAGGCACTTATAATAGTATGAGCTTATAAAGAAGGAAAATGAGACCAAGGAAATATCAGAGCTAGAAACTCCAACCTAGGTCTGTGCTTTACACCACCATGGCTGTAGTACCAGGTTAGAACTCAGCACCACCATGACTGTAGTACCAGGTTAGAACTCAGCAAGTTTCACCTTAATGAAATTAGATTTGGGGGTCCAGGAGGTATGTTAGAAACAGTTCACTTCAGCCATTTCTAGATGGCTTTCATGTTATTCATAATTTATCCATGCCACAGATGAAAGCAGAAAAATTAGAAAAGAGCAAGTTAAAAATGCATACGAATCAGACGAAGACCTAGAAAGCAAAGATGATACTCTTGGATATGTTACAAGCAATTTAAGAGATTGTGGGGGAAAGTTTGAGATACTGATGAGCTAGGATTTCCCCTTTTAAAGAAAACAGCAACTCTCAACCACACAGAGCCTTGGCGTAATGAAGCATAACACAGGCGGGCAACCAGGCATCAATCTCTGAGGTAGCAGGAGAAGCCTTATGAAAAAACATTCGCAAAGGCAATTGGAGTAGCAGGCAGTGATGCAGAAGTGTCAGAGGGGTCAGCCTTCCAATCCATCTGCTGAATATGAGCGTGCTAAAAATGAAATCAAATATTAGTGCCATCTGGGATTTCTCTGCTGTTTTCCTGGTGACCTCACTTTTTAGGAAAATGTTCCACTGCATGCTAAAAAGCATAGCCATTTCCCCAGAGGCATTCTTGACGTATAGCTGATTAAAAATTATAAAGTTCTTCTTCAGGAAGGGAGAAATGAACAAAGAATGAGAATCTACAAACAAAACTCTCATCACACTGTTCAGAAATCAGCTGATTCTTGAGTCCATTAAGCCATCCATTGAAACCTATTTCCTTAGCAAGGAAGGGCTGTTGTTCATTTTTCACTGAGTACCAAGGTGATTCAGTCATAGATAAATTGTCAAATAACAGCTTCCATCCTGGGATCTTGAAGAATTCATCAGCCTGGAGTTTTAGAATAAAAGTAGATTTCCTTCAGGCAGAAACTCATGAAGTGGGTCCCAAATAGCAAGAATTTAATTAATTTTAGGTCTTCCTGAGATATATGGGGTGCACCTTTCTCTTAGGGTCAACTGTGTGCAGGCTGCAAGTAATTGTGTATGTGTATGCGCTTGTGTGTGTGTGTGTGTGTGTGTGTGTGTGTGTGTGGTTTATACCCAGGTTGTCCTGGGACATTCATATTGACAACTTTACGAACTAACCAGGCACAAATTGACTTTTAAGGAGATAAAAAGTTGAAAGAAGGTTCACACTAAGAAGTCTTAAAAAAAATCTTGCAAAGAAAAAGAACTGTGAAATTATTTTAATAGTTGTGTCCATTAGGAATGTGGGACTTAAAGTAGAAAATAGGATGGCAGAGAGGAACTGTTGGAATTTTTAAAACCATAACTTCATATTGTTTACATTTTTTTAAATCAAACATTAAAGAATAAAAGTTATTTCTATGACCCTGGAACTACTACTGAGATACTCTAGACTATAAAAGCACAGTTGAGAGCAAGAATCTAAAATTAGACCACCAGGGCTTAAATCCTAACTTGCAAATCACCAGCAGTACAACCTTGGGCAAGTTGGTAAGTATAAAACATGAATACTAATAAAATCAAAATTAAAGGGAAGTAATGTATATACAGTGCCTGGAACTTCTGCTGGCTCAGAAGGAAGTGTTCAATAATCACTGGCTATAACTTATGAATTGCTGATTCCAAACCCACCAAAGAAGAAAGTGCCTTAGGAATGGTTAAAAAAAATCCAGAAATTGCCAAGGGATGAGTCCCCAGAGGAATCTCATTCTGAGAATTTTACTCAGGATGCTTGCGACATGCACAGTTTCCTTGGGACCAGGAATACATATGTAATTATTCAAGCATAATACAAAATAGAGACACTCAAAAGAGGGCCATAAAAGCCCAGCGAGCTAGATGAAGTTAAACCAAGTGCCCATTAAATAGAAATGTCAACAAACATGTTCTAAAGTAGTCTGTGGGGGGATGCAAAAAACCAAACACAGTAAGCTCTCTTTGGGGGAAAGAGTCAGAAAGGCAGATTGAAGTAGAAGAGACTAGAGAGAACTGTCAGGACTACATACTAGCTACACATCATAAAAATGAATAGTGATATTTACTGTACACCTCTAATGCAGCAGGAGCAATATACTCTTCAGATTCCGTTCTCCTTTATTTCTTAAGCTAAACCTATAAAGAAGAGCCACTGAGTTTCTACCATGTACACAAGCCCTAAGGCAGGAACAGAATGAAGGATTCCTTGGCTGGAGTCCAGAGATGAAAAAGAGGAGATGTAGGATATGAGTAATAGAGGTTGACAGTGGTCAGGAAAGAGGAGAGACATTATACAGGGATTGACATCACATTCAGTTGAAACCAAAAACTGGCCTTTAGACTACTAGGGAGGGCATGCCTTATAGTGGAGCAAGAATGAACAGAGAGAGAGACCAATTACATGGTTGGGCTGTTTATAGATGAGAACTGAGGATCAAATACGGGTTAGCTGACTCAGTCATGCAGCTGTACATGAAGTGTAGAAACTTGCTTTGATATAAATGGCAGTTTACTTATGAGAACTTGATAGGATCTTGGACATTTTGCAATAAACTGTTTCCATATCTTCTGCTTCATATGGGGACTACTATTACCATAATTTCATCAACCCATTTTCCAAATATTCATATGGTAAGAATATGATGCTTTTAAGACTCATAACTTCCGATGATCTTCTCAGATTGCCCCTTCTTGTCCCCTAGGCTGATCCTAAGCTGAGGAGTGCACACCTTCCCCAACCTGTACATACTCTCCATCCCCCAGATCAGCATTCCTGCTGTTCCTCTAGGGCCACAAACACAGCACGACATTCAACTCTACACCTTTTCCAACACCTCTGATTAAAGTAAAAATTTAATTCCACTCTATCTTCCAACATAGAAACATGAAAGACACAACAAATTTTCCCTAACTCTCCTGCTCCTGCTATAGTCACTTTTCTTAACTTCTCCTTTGTTTCAATTTATTCATCCCTGATACTGTATATACTTTCTGTTGATTCAACTAAAAAAATCTTTTCAAGATTTCAGGTCCCACTCTTACTTCTTCCTATCTTATCTAAGACCTTAGTATCTCTCAACTAAAATTTTATAGTGACCTTTCTTCATCTCCTAATTCACCTATTTATGATACCTACTATCAGAATTACTTTCAAAAATTTCACTAAGGTTATGTCACACCCACCCCTTTTGATGACTTCTTCAGGTTCCTATCACCTATGGGGATAAAACCCAAACTTCTAAGAATGGTAAATGAAGTGTTTTTAAGCTCTAGCTTAAAAAGAAACACGTATGAGCCATAATGATAGTCCCACAGAACCTCCTTACAGTTTTCAAATATAGTCTTAATTTCCATAACTGTTTTTATTACATTTATTCTATTACATTTCTCCTAACCAGTTAATTGACTCAGTCGCTCATTCAGTACCATGTAAAAAATGTGACTCTTTTGTTTCTGCTTTGTTTATTTGGGGGGAAGGGAGCACACCCATCTGAGCTAAAGACTTACTCCTGCCTCTGTGCTCAGAGATCACTCCTGAAAGTGTTCAGATCATATGAGGTTCCAGTGACAGAACACAGGTGACTGCATGCAATGCTAGCACCTTAAGCCCTGTATTACATCTCTAGCCCCATAAAAATGTGACTCTCTTAATAAACTTTTGCATGAGTTCACACAATAGTGATTATTGTGTAATTTTCATTCCCAAGTACTTTGAGCTCTATAGTATAGTGCTACACTGTCTTTTAATCACTTGCTATCCACTTCCTATTATCAGAGAGCTGGTTCCATTCTACCCCAGTTTATACTGTGAAGG